TTCTTTTTTTCAAATTTATTTAACCTGACAATATATCTTGACTTATAAAAATGCATCGGTACAGTCTGTAAATCAGAGACTACTTGACTTTGTTTTGATGATAGAGGGCCTGGTAACCATTTTAATATAATTCAGTATTCTGTTAGCTTATAAAAATATACTGTATCTGTGTTACCACTGAGAAGATAATAGAATATAATGGAAATGTCAGCATCAATTATTTTAATATAAGGATTGTAAGTAGATGTCTGATTGTAACTATAATTAGTAATTATATTGTTAAAAAACTGCAGAGATTTCAGTTAAATTGTTTTTTTTATATATAGCTTAGTAGGCAGGAGTGTCAATTTATTTTTTTTTTCTTGTGTGTGCTGTGTAAATGTCTTGAATAAATAAAAATTACTTTGTTTGGGTTGGTAGTTAAATAATATAGTTTAATAATGTAGCTATGTATTTTTCATTATATAGGTTTTTGAATGCTTTGTTAGTTTTTAATTTTACAACAATAGATTTATATTGATTATAAGCTAAGAATCTATATTTAAAGAAAATAAATATATTTAAAATTTTATGTGTGTCTGTTAATTATGTTTTTTTCTATTTCTAATTTACAGTTAAAAGCTAATAACCTTCTTAAATATGAATATGCATTGACAAAAACATTTTATAAAAAACTTAGCCTACATATTGGAATTCCATAAAATATATAGTACTATATATAATAATTTGTATTATTTTATTCGGCCTATGACTTTATGTTCTTATGTCTAAAGTTAATGGCTAGCACTGTTAGTGTAGGCCATTTAAGGTTTAGACATATAAGCTAAGTATAAACATAGTATTCTTATTAGATAATCTAGCTGAAGTGAATGTTATGTTGACATTGTTTGGATATCAAAGATAAAATTCCAGCTATATATTATGTTATTCTTTATTCTTTATTCAGACTTTATTTGTAGTTATATATTTAGTTATATATTCCTAATTATATTTATATTTATATATTATATTTATTATTTATATTTATTTATAATATTCTCTATGAAAAAAAAATTTTCATAATTTTATTTTCCTCAATATTTATTTTTTCTGTCTTCCCTGTACATTATATACTTTAACCGTACTTAATATACAGAGCAAAAAACATTAACTAAACCTAAATGGTATATTAATTGTCATAAATTGTTTCCAATTTAAAGATAATTATTATCACTTGCTTTTCCTTTTTAAGTGTACAAGTCAAAATAATTACTGTCACCAGTCGAACAAGTGTTAATAAATATCTACATCATTATTACCATAACATAATGTTTTAGTCATTAAATTCATTTTGTAGTATATATCCCAACGGATATTAATCGTCCGCTAGCTGGCTACCTTTTGCTCTATCTCTGCTTCAGCTCTATCTCAACCCCTGTCCTAGTTGGCATGAAATTTATGGCATAACAAGAAGTTTATATGTCCTATGGGAAAAGCATGTATTAACTAGTTTAGCCAGCACAGCAGGGATCTAAAGCCTATAGAAGACTTCTGTAGATAGTAGTGATAATTAGAACTGTAGGCTATGTACAGAGAGCATCTCGAACCCCCTTCTGAGCTGATATACCTACAGGGGCTTGGGACTGTTTTAATTACACAGTGGTGGAATCTTGCTGGCTCTTCTGAGCTCTGTATATTCCCCCGAGGGCTTGTGTTAAATGTTGCTCCTTTGCAGTCATTTGCATACAAGGAAGCACTGTGTATGGCTATACTGTGTATTGGTCCAATCCATTATTAGAATGTTTGAGTATACTGCTTAGGCAAGCAGCCAGCCACCAACCACCAACTCTTGACAGGAAAGATGCACTCTAATGGACTCAGCGTTAGTATGCAGTCAGATATTTAGATCATGCCTGCATTTTTCTGAAGGAAAAATTTATTTTACTATAAATATTTAGTGGCTATTTGGTTGATACTTATACGGTGTTTTCAATAACTTTTTTTTGGAATTTGGATGGTGTAAGGGAGAGTTATTAGCAGGAGATGCCTTTTACCACAGACTGCAGGTAAGCTAAAGAACCGTTGTTAGGCCTATATTGAAGCCATGTGTTATGATATGGTCCAGATACTACTGATGTTGTAACAATATCATCAGGGATATTATATGCAGTTTAGTATGTCATTGGTAGTATAAAATTACAGACATCATTGACTAAGTTCATACTTGACTTATTGTTTTAAAATCAGCTTGGGTATATATATTGTAGATTTATGTAAAATTCTATTTATAGATTTACCAATATATTACTTGTTTATTTTATTTAAAAGCAGAGTAAAAATTAGCACTGAATAGGATTTTCCTGATGGAAATAAACAATGACTGCGATTGTTTATTTATAACAAAGGCAATGAAAGGTGAAATACAGAATCTTATCCAAATACTGTATGCCTTAAACTTAAGAGGAACCTATATGTAAGGCTTAATTTAAGTTTTATTCATTTATTCATTGTAAGACCTGTTTTATTTATTAATACATTTTTAACTTAAACAAAATAGTTTCTCTCCCATTTTCAAACAATTTTGAGTAGGCGGAAAGACTTTGTTGTATCTATCGTCAGTATTCCTACAGTACCTGACCTTATTTTCTGGTGAAATTGTTTTTTGAAACATTACACAAATGAAGTCTTGCATCGTATTGAAATTCATTTTCCAATAGTTTATTTTAACAAAGATATATTGGCATTTAAATTAAACATTTAAAAGAATCACTTTTAATAAGTTACACCTAATTTAGGCAAAATTTTAGAATACTTAATTTTAGAATACTTAAATATTTAAAAAAAATTAAGTACAGTATTGGTTAATAAATTCTAATTGTTAAGAAACAGGAATTGGTGCTACAAATTTGCTTCTTTATACAGTATAAGCTTATTTGAAATAATTACTGGCATTAAAACAGAAATTTTAACCAAGCATTTTACTTTGAAACAATTTATTTTCAACACATTTATTAAACAATAAAAACTGGAAATTTTGTAATTCAAATCTTAAATTGCTTAAAAAGAAAAACACAATGGGAAATCCCCACATTGTTATTTTAATTTTTTTTTTTTTTTTTACCTGAGTGGTTTGGTTATTTTTGTAGATTTTATTAAACATTCACATAAATTCAAACAAATCAGTTACTAACATGTACTATTGATTTATTAATTTAACTTCATTTCTGCTAATGACTTAATATAAACAAGCAGTTGGTGATTTATTACTGGTTAAGTACAGATCAGGGCCACTTAGTTGATCGAAACTAAGGCTATGTTCACACACACGGCGTAAGACTGGCGTAGCTTACGCCAGGCGTAAGCTAATTCACGGATTAAAATTCCAAAAATCCAAACGGCGTTCGCTATATTAACGCTGGCGTTAAACTAGTAGTAATATAGACCTATGGGTGAATTGTTCGTAGTGAACTTATATGATTATTGTATTTTAAATGAACAATTTTACTTTGATTTTTCAGCTAGCATTGTTGGTGTTGCAGGTTTTAATAGACAGTCTAAATAGGTTAAAATATCTTACAAAACAAAATCAACAAATCATATACATTATAACTAAGATATGCAATAGAAAAGAACCCCTTTACCATTTCATTTATAGAGAGCACAGGAAAGAGACCAAAGTAGCTAATATATTGCAATCGTGATTGGTCAATCTCTTGAAATGACGTCAAATCATTCAAGCATCACTGGCGTTAGCTCAGTGGCGTTAGCTAATCTGGGGTCTGCAGGTAGCGTTAATAACGCCAAGGACGTGGCGTAGTGAGTGGCTTTAACAACGCCACTGCCTAGTTCACACACAAAGGCGTACGCTACGCCGTGCTTAAGCCAGCCTTACGCCGTGTGTGTGAACATAGCCTAAGGCTCCATTTAATGACACAAAATGCTTAAATATGGTCCACAGAAAATAGATAGTATTTATCTGTTATATTAAACACAATGTCCAGAAAGTGTGTTATAATTATTTATTATTCAGCGAAGCAGTTCTTTTTGTAGAGTGAAACTTTTATGCTTGCAATAAAAAAATGATTTTATGGAATGCTTGTGAAATTTTGCATTTCCATAGAATACCATCAATACTTTCCAACATTTAATAGGCTTATGATAGATATGTTGTGCAACTTCCGAAGAAGGTAGGGGTTATTGGCGTCGTTGCTATTGATAACACTTTATAGCAACTTCTTATTGTTAGTGGGTATCTATTGAGGAAGTCAATCTAAGAGAAGTTCCTATTTATTGCATGGTATACCACTTTGTGTAATTCCCTCCTGTTAGCAAGGAAATAGTTAACGATCTATTATCTATTACTGTAGTCCTAAACTTTATATTACAGTATACAAATTCACATTGTATAGTAATGATTGTTAATGTTATATTTTTATTTCATAATAACTGCCTGTAGAAAAGTTGTAATAATTATTTGAATACAGTATTTTGTAATAACTATCAGGATACATTTCTGAACAGAATTATTTTCTCATTTTTTTGTCAAGACAGGTTCTCAAAATGTTTGTTGGAAACTTGCTTTAAACAATCAATTTTAACTATAAAAACAAATTTACATTGTGATTCATAATGTTGTATATCATTATAACTGCACTGATGCATTTTTAAACAGAATTACTATATTTAGTTTTATGTTTGTCAAAGCAAGTTCTCAAAATTCTGGTTGGGAATGTGAACTCAATTAATGTTTATATAAGATTCTAAAAATAAATTAGATACTACAATTGCTATAATTAGATATCAGCATATTTCAACTTTTTTTTTCTGTAGTTTAAGGACATTTTCACCCTCTGATTATGGTTGTATTAAAAATACATATTGTAAGTTACAATTTTGGTCTGTTTTATTAAATTGGTAGTATTTACTTACTTCATTAAAAGTTATTACCTGTTTAAAAATTAAAAAACAACATATTTTTTTTAAAAACAACATTGTTAAATCGATGCCTTATTTTCTTAAAGGTCTATGGAAATAGGGCAACTTGGTAGCCCAGGGCAAGCATCTACAGGTCACTCTAGTCCAGCTAATCACACAAGCCCAAATGGTTCAGTGTGTACAATAACACCCAATGGGAATAGTAGTAAGTAATCGTCACTTTTATACTTGAAATTTTTATTATTTCCTATGTTCTACCTTATTCGTTTCTCATATAATATGTTATCCATCCCTCCTGCCATACACTATGTCTCTTCCTACACCCTCGGCTAACAATTTGATATTATATATTAACATATAATGGCGTTTTAATAACATATTTGATGTTTAAATCTTCTTTTTTTTCTGGTACCGCAATTTTGTATTTAACGTAACTTCTAGCTGCCGGCCTAGCTGTCACCAAGGTACCTGTATGTACATGGTAGTGATGGTGATCTCAAAATCAGTAATGCGCATCTTCCTCCCCTTTGCGTTCGTGCCTGTTGATCTATAAATTTGAGGCACTTTTTATTGTGGAAGGCACTATGAAAACACATGACCAATTGCAACATTGCTGCAATATTTCCATTAGACATAAACTAAATCATATTTGGGAGCATTATATAATTTTTTGTGTTTTTGCTGGGCCTTTCCTGTACTACGCATAGATGAACATCTTCACTGTTCACCTAGTCTTTTAAATAGTTGTTAGTTTGTAGAGCTATAATGATATATTTCATACATCAGTAATTTTATTTATAATTGTAGATATCAGTATTTTCAAAATATTTTGGGGTTTTTATATGAAAAGGTGAAAATATGTGATGAATTTGTTAAAATAATAACTGGTGACTGCTGTGGTCATTGTTGATCCATATCAGTTGTCAAAGGGGAATAGTAGCATGTGTTACTGTCCAATCATCTGTAGACCTTATTAATTGACCAGTCCATTCCGCTATTCATCTTCATGGGATTAAATAGAATTGAAAAAGCATGGTATTCAAAACAAAAGTTGTATGCTTTGTTAATATTTGCCTGTTTGAACTCTCTCATTTTGTACGAAGTTTGACTTGTACTTTTCTCTTAGTTAATTGTTGGGTCATGTTTGTATGTTCGAGGTTTGCATTATTTATAGATCAAAAAGTGTTGCTAGTCTGAAGTTCTAGGGGACATGCGCACTCAGAACTAAGAAACAATATTATGTAGCTCTTCCCTTCATTGCATTATTTGTTGGGCATTTAGATTTTGCTTCTCCAAAAAGTGAACGTGTTCAGCTTAGGACTGTCTCTTTTTAAAAGCAAATATTCTTTTTCTATCCTTCCCCTTCCTATCCTGCTACTGCAGTTTTACAAGTAATTTTACTTAATTTATAATGCATCGCCCGTAGTTTCGATGTAAGTTTATTCTTAACACCACCAATCGGAATATAGAGAATTCAGAATATTTACAATTTCAGCAAGCATGCTGATATGGGCTCAAAACAATGAAGTAATCGTGTGAGAATGTTTTAATGAGACTATTTGATTGATTGTTTGCTTGTTTTTGAATTGTTTCCTCATTGTTTCCATAGCTAATCATGTTCCAATGGCAACAACTGTTGAATCCACAAGTCTAACAGATTCTAGCTGTTGGAATAACATTCCCAACTCTACAACAAGTAAGTCACCACAATATTGATGTTATTTTATCTATGATGCCGAATAAATTTAATTTAATTCAATACTATTTTCAGGCACAATTGACAAAGAGAGATCAGAAATTAGACTTAAGACTGGAAAATGTACAAGTGTTCCTCTTGCTGTACTTACTACATGTGTCACAAAAGTATTGTTATCAGATGGATCACTCCTGTTTAATATAAACATGGAATCTGATATTCCCGATTATGAAATCATGTTTTTTAAAAGTTTTTCCCACATCGGTGTTATCATTTTTATAGTAATAATGTCTCAAAATACAGTAGAACTCCTATTAAGGGGACACCTTCGGGACCCAAAAAAGTTTCTGCTTGATAGGGGTGTCCCCTGAATAGGGACACTAAACAAAAACATGAAATTGTTCCCTTAATAGGAGTTTTTGGCATGTTTTCATATAACGATGACATACAATTCTTTATAATTTTATTTTTATTGACCTAATTAGTTCCAGTAGAATTAGAACTAATTTATAGCAATAATTTGCAATATGCAAATACAATTCATTTATAATATGAAATCAGCAGAAACGTGATTAAAACAACAATAGTTTTATATGTTCCCTTTATTTTTTCATGATGCAATGTTAATGAATGAATTAGAATCCTATGAAAGTGCACAAAAAACAAAGAAAAAGAAATCCCCATGGTTAAGGTCAAAATTGACAAGATTGGTTTATACTAAGTAACACATGTAGTAGGCCTTACCGATATTCACGCTAAGGATTTGCGGAGAAAATTCTGTTTTATTGCTCAAATTTCAAAATTCAATTTTAACTTTAAATCAATTAATTAAAATTTCAATTTATCCAAAAAACCTCTGGAACAGAGACGTAAAGTAGTAGGCCTAGAATAACTTTAAAACAATAGAAAAATTTCATTAAAACAGACAATTTATTCATACATATACCAGAAGAATTAAAATGAAAACAGAGAAAAAATTGGAAAAATTCTCAAAATACAAAATTCAATCAAATAAATAAGAGGAGAGAACAGAACACCACCTTTTAACAGATACAAGCAAAACAACAAACCATGAAAATACTTAAAACGCACCAAACTAACTACCAAACAAAGACGGATTATTTTACTTGATTCAAAAATCTTTTTGCACTTCAATTTCAGTTAAAACATTATTATTATTATTATTATTATTATTATTGTTATTGTTACGTAGTCTAACAAAAGATCGCCCTTGACAAACAGCAGTAGAAAGGTGATAATAGTTAGAAAGGTGATAAGATTTTCTTAATAAGTTGCTCAAAATGTGTCAATGTATAAAGTTGAGTAAATTTTTCTTATTCTGAGACGGTTGTATTCGTGATACGATATAAAAAAAATTGTCCCTTAATAGGGGTTATTTGATCATTTGGCACACTCAGAAAGTGTCCCCGTCCCCATAATAGGGGTGCCTCCTATCACACTTCCCCTTAATAGGGGTGTCCCTGTAGTGTCTCAAAATAGTTTAAAATTAAACCATAAAACCTAAATATAAATTTTATTCACTATTTTTTTAAGGACTTGCATAACTTAGCATTGTGTGTTCGTACAGACCGAAATATGAAAAAGTTTAAATTAACAGGAATATAAATTGCTTTTAATACTTTTATGGTCGCTATCAGACAAAAATTTATTGTTATGGTAGTAGTAATACTAATAAGTAAATTGTTGAAGTTAATGAAAATTTTTAAAAATAACAACAAATTTTGATTTAAAAAAGAATCTAAATCAACCTTGATGAATAAATTTTAAATAATATAATTGGATTTCCTGTTTATTAATTAGTTTTGTATCGCACCACAACCATTTGGTTAATTAATTTTAATGATGTAAGCCTATTAGGTTAATGAGGCTTCAACAATGTTGATTAATAATCGACTGTCTTGTGTAGTCAGTGGCACTAATGACCCTAGCCCACCATTAAACTTTAGATAAACAATACTTCATTGGACGACTTTCATTGTTATTTATGGTCAGTAATACGACAGTATGTTATTAGTCATCAGGACTTAATAAGTTCCAAGTGCTTAAAATGTGCACAAAATAATGTAAGTTATTGTATTTTCTTTGTAAGACTACATTCATCATTTATTTTAACTCAAATAATCATTTTGTTGTGGATGCTGGTTTCTATGCATTATTAAAGACAGTACCATTTTAGATTTTTTGAGTTGTACCGTGTAGGCATAATATGTACTATACTAAGTAGGATTATTGTCATTATTTACTTCAGTCTGAGATAACTACCAGTATGTATAAGTTCAGTTGTCTCAGCCTTCAGTCCATATTTATTAATATTAAAATTTTTAGAAATTTTGTTAAGATATTATATATTGTTTTACTATATTTTGGAAATCAAATTAATAACAAATTTATAAATCAAAAGTTAGATTAAGGCAAGAGTCATCAAGGTTATTAACTAACTATTTTAATTTCAAGATTGATTCTTATTTATGTTATAATGTTTCAACCATTTGAAAGAAAATTTTGATGCACCAGTAGATTTTAAATTAAAGTATTGTTGTATTTAATGTCATTATTTTTTTTGTAAATTTGTATCATCATTTTAATCATTTGGTTTTGATATATATTTAAATAAAACAGTGCATTAATTCTTACTGTTTACTGTGCCATGTTAATGTTTTTAATTAACACTTTATCAATTAGTATTCTTTATTATTTTATTATTTATATTTTATTATTATCATTATTCTCTTGCTTCTTTTCTTTTCTTCAACAACTTGCTCACCAGTCAAGTCCGAGCCTATAAGCCATTGCGCGACGCCCACCTCATCCACTGTAGGGGGCGCTTTCCATGACCGATCTTCCTTAGAAAACTTCGCAGGTGAGAGGCATTGTGCATGCCTTCCCATCAGTTTGAAGTGTTCCCATCATGCATTGCTCTGTCTTACCCAGTAGGTTTCCTGTTGTCTGCATTTGATATCATAGCTAACCATCGACCTGCTTATCATCCAATAATTTGCCTGCACCCTGGATCAATCTACAGCTAATCAGTATTAATATATTTATTTGCTATATAAATATATAACACATTTGGCTTTTAGAAGTCTAATTCTTATTTTATGTCATTTGTAATTAGTCAATCATTTAATTAATTATATGATTATTATTATTGCATATTTATTTTCATTATAAATCCTATAAAGAAAATTATGTAATGAAATGGACATGTACACTTTACAATGTTTAATTTTTTTTTGGGACTGATTCTGAACTGTCAATTAGACCGCATTATTTTAAACAGTAATTTTAACAATGTGCTAATTAAACAATAAATTGATTGTATTTACCATTTAAATATCCAAAGAATACTATTTGCATGCAAATAACAAATCAAAAATAAGTTGGTGAGCAATGAGGTGAAGAGTGCTTGAATGGGGAAGTTGTGTGTGTGTAGGCCCAATGTGTGAAAGGATTGAAGTGTAACAAATTAGGTGTGGAAGGGGAGAAGAAAATATTGGCCTACAAATGGAGAGGAGGTTAGAAGTTATATAGTTATGTGTGATTTATTTAATGAGCTGTAAATTACATCAATAATCAGTCTTTGGAGTTTTTTTAACTTTCTGTTTAGTATTTTAAGTATGTTCTCAATCATCTCGTCATAAAATTCCATACCTTCTACGTATAGCAGTCAGTGATTTAGTGCATTGTGATAGTATAGACCATCCGCCATGCATGTATAAACATGTGCTTTTATAGAAATTTTATTTGCTTCACTTCCTTGTATCTGGGGAAGAGAATTAGCAAAAGAAAAAGTTAAGAAATTTTAAAAAGGTTGTATTTACTACATTTCAGATCTCATTTATACTAGAAGTTGAGATAAAATGTAGTACATTTGAATATGGACCATGCCAAACATTATCTGGTACACCTTGTATACTTAATCCCAGTTAATTATTTCTGTTCAGTAGTAAACTTTCCTGACATTTGTGGTTATTATTCAGTTCTGTATTTCACCCACATGTTCCCAAACATACGCATGCTCCAACACATCTCAAAATGCCAACATAAAAACAGTCCAAAAGAAGCATACCTATACCATAGTTGTACACTTTAGTATATGAATGCAATGCTCAACTAACACAAGCACACATCTTACATCATAAGCATACATACTATTTCCATTAATTATAAAAGAACATAATTTACCTATCTTGATATTTTAAGTTATTCATTTCATGGAATGTTAACTATATTTTTTCATCACTTGATCATTAAAATTCCTACAATTCATAATGCATTTTATTGAAAAAATATTATTTCAAAATCTAATAGTTAATATGGTCTATATGCATTTAGTTTATCTTGACATTTTTTTTTATCTGAATGAAGATATTAGGTTTGGGTCATGTACGTCAGTACGACTTTCAAGATTTCATCAATTACTGTCCATGAGGCCTTTGAATTTTAATTTTCATTTATAAGCAGTATCTATTTGGCACAACGGTTAATTGTTCCTGTGATGTTAGCCTGACATAATGTCCTTTCCTACCTACTGATGCAGCAATAAATTGATGAACTAGGCCTGTTATTCCACAGGTCTATGTACAGTAGGCCTGTAGTGAAGCACCCGTTATCTAGCCAATCGTCAACAGGGAGACCTAAACCGCAAATATTCGCTATCTCGATTAGGTTACAGGTGGGAACAGTGACTGATCTTGTATTTTCCCATGACCTGTTGGTCATTCAAGCAGAATCTACCAACTGTTTGCATTAATTAGCTTTGATTAATCAACCCTCATTTGCATAATGTTTGTTTGGCACATTAACTATCATGCATTAACAATAACCATGCCTGTTTTTTTACGTGAGACAAATACTAATTCTAATCTTTATTTACTTCATGGAAGTTGAAGCTGTATTACCTCAGACCAGCGGGTCTACTTGCATCTGCTTGGGTTTAATGTAGTATTATAGTTTCTTTTCAGATTAATTTATAATAATAAATTTTGGTTCATTTTCTTTAAATGTGACTGCTTTTGAGAGTGTTATGTGAAAGTGATTGTGGTAATATTGGAGCAGAGATGAGTTGTTTGTGTGCTCAGAAATTGTCAATATTAAGTGACCTGTGGAGGGCCAGCAAACAGAGCATGTCATAGGCTTTACAGCTAGCTATGTCTTTGAGCTAGCTCTGCTCAACACAATGCATTAATTTGTTAAATCTGTAGTACCTAGTTAATTACAAAAAAGAAGATAGAATGACAACAATTCATGATGATGATGCATCTGATAATGATAATGATTCATGATGATGATGATGTGCAATATGATAATGATTCATGTTGATGATGATGCATATGATATTGATTCATGGTGATGATAAAGCATATAATGATGATAATGATTCATGTTGATGCACATGATGATTGATAGTGATATTAGAATAGAATAATGTTGGTGATTTAAGATAACGATTTTGATGAATATAAAAAGGATGGTAATACAAATGATAATAATGGTAGGAGAAAGATGATGACATTTTAAATGTTTGCTAATATATGATAGTAACATGAGATTTTTGTTTGGCCTAACAATGATTATTATCTTTACTCACCTGTTGATTACAAATCTTTATGGTAAATTCATTGTATCATAAATATGTAATACAAATGGTATAATATATTTTTATACAGTATGTCCATATCTAGCACAAAATATGAATTAGCATATATTGCCAAGTTGTTACAATTTTATTGTTGACATTTTTAATAAGTTAAATTAATGTTAAGATTGTGTCACTATTTATATGCCTATATTGTAATAAACATGCTTATTTTGATTCCTACCTTTTGAATGAGTTGTCCACAAAGGATAGGAATCATATTTCCATTTCCTTTGTCTCAATTTTGTAATATTGTTAGGTTTTCATTAAAATAAAATTCATGATTAATATACTTTATTTTTTTTAATGAAAGAAAATTAGTTAATAATAATATGTTAAAAATGATGATTAACTCATTGAATTATCTGCAAAATGTGTAACAGTTTTCTACTTAACCTTTCTTCCAGGGTCAGGTAACGGTATCACAGGTCAAAGTTCATTGGACATGAATTTACGAACAAAGAGTGAATATTCGGCAACCCAGTATTTTGGAAGGTAATAATATTTTTCTCATTTCTCATGATGTATTTTTATTCTTATATATTTTATGTTTAAATTTGGTTGTTTTTAAAAATGTTTCCTTATCTATTTTGAAGAGTATTACTAAAAAATATACCTTCTTTCATTCTCTTGTGTTTGTGTGTTTACAATTATAAAATTCTACATTTCATCTAAGAACTGTTGGTAAAGTTTAGCTTGGGATAATAGTATTATGGATGTCCCATTTATCAAAACTTGCATAATATTGATTCAAGTTTGATAGTTCTGTAACGGAAGCTAATGTAATGTTTTATTTGTCTATCACCGATATCTGTAATCATACACTACACCACATACTAAAATTCCTGCATCAACTTGTATCATTAGTCTTCTGTCGAATGCTTCATTGAATTGCGGAACTGATGCATTTTGGGAATGTTTCAGATACATTAACCTCATTCCTCTACTGTACTTATTATTTTTTTTAATTCGTTATTGCAATTATTTTACTAAAGTATAATATCAACAAGAATATTTATAAGTTTATAAGTTAGTTGAATGATGTTTATTGTAATTTATTGAAACCCAATTTTCAAACATGTAGACTATGGCCTTCCATTTATTTAATAATTTTCACAATACAAAGCATATGCTAAGGGAGGGGTAATATTCTTTTATGAAAAAGAAATCTATAATCGCAAATTGACAACAATCACCAGAAATATAGGAAAAGACTATGTTTTGTACTTACTTGAAAATGATAAAAACAATGAATGAATCTTTTAATTGGAGGACAAATTATATGCAATGTTTTTATGTTCACAAAAATATTGGCCCTTTGTTTGGTATATTCCATAGACAATTATGTTTTTCTTTTCTTTCATAGCCTAAAGCCTAACCATATTTAGGCCTATTCTTTCTAATGTTGTCATCAATATTCTTATTAATATTGTTCATTGTCATTGGCATTTTTCATCTTCCTCATCATGCCATTATTGTCATCATCACGTGTATGGGTTTTATTTTGTCATCATTATTATCATAATAGATATACCACCATTTCCTCTATCACATCGCCTATGGATTATTTTCTAAAAGTTGAAGGAAACTTGTTTGTGAAGGATATAGTGGAACTACAGTGTTTTTCCTAGTTCATTTTTTTTTCTTTTATTTTTGATATTTTTATTAGGTTTTTTTTTTAATTCCGGGTCCTGAAAATGATAGTCACAAACTATTATTCATCACATATCAAAATTACATTTCCATCCTGTCTTCCCATATCTTTAAGCTCATGCCACCTTGGTTTCCAAAATAATTGTTCATTAAACAGCTACAGTATAATACATGATATGCGCCATGAGCGTGTTCAACGGATACTGGCGCATTATAAATGTCCGTTTATTATGATTTAACATCCTTCTAACCCTCCAAACCAGGCTTCCATATTAAGCAAGATTTTTTGTACATTGTTGCACAAACTTATTTTTTTAAATCGTCGGAAGAGGGCGGAAAAGAAAAAAAAAATTAAATTTTGCTTTCTCATTTAGTAAAATGATTTTGCCAAAGCCATCTAGGCGGAGGAGAAAATAAAAGTATAATTTTATCGATGAATTAAGCAGATTGATATATGCTTTAAATTTATATAATTAAGGAAGAAATGTATATCTTATTTTTGGAGATTTCAGGGGAGAGTACAGGGGAAATAAAAATAAATATATTTATTTATGAAATTTCCATTTTTACATGGCAGAGGGTGTGCAAACTGGCCAAAAATATAATTTTATTTTTACTTGAAATCACCATTTTTGGTAGACGGAAGGTTCGCTAAACAAGGTATAAAAAAAGTTTATCTCTGCTAGAAAGAACAAAAAAAACTATTTTGATAGAATGACGATAATATTTTCATTTTAAAAATAATATTTAGAGAAGTAATGAAAGGAAACTATTACAAGTGTACCTGATATTTGGGACAATGTGGCTCCAAATTGTAAACTGGTGCATGATATCATGCTGATATGATCACGTGATGAAATGATACCAAAAGTAAATCTGTCCAGTAAAGTTGGCAACACCCTCCTACTCTCATCCTGTTATTAGCAAATCATATTACAGCTCGACATCATTCACAATAGGCCACGTATCAGTGTGTCTACCAGCTAACTCGGTTGAAAAAGAAAGGATATCATTTCTTTCAAATCCATTTCAGGTAAATGTTTTCTTAGAGGGCTTTATTTTAAGGGTAACAGTTTTAAAGCTTTTAAAGTTACAGGTATTAAGTCTTTAATTTTATAGTGGAGTTGAAAAGCTTAGTGGTTAAGATGCTTGCCTTCTAATTCCAGGCTCTTGGGTTCAATTCCTGTCTCAGAAGGACTTTTTTTGACAACTAGCTGTTGGTGTGACAGAAATAATTTTTTTAATAATTCATCAACTCTGTTGAAGTAGAAATAGTAGTAATGATGATGTAGCTGGTGAAATAGAATAGGCCATGGAATTACCCATTGTATTTTTCTCTTTACAACATGGTCTTCAACATACAGTACGCTTTGTCATTGTCTTGGTGAGCCTGGGATATGGGGAACATCGAGTCTGTTTTGGGTCCAGGCACAGCGGACCCCAGAGCCAGAACCTTACTGCTGTTCTTGTTGTTCTTTGTGTTGTTATTACCAAACTTTAAAATCATCCAGCATAGCCAGTTTTGAACGGACATGCAGAAAATTTTGTACACATAAACTATAAGTAATTTCCAACAAACGTTCATGGCCCTTTCTTAAGTTTGATCCCAGGGTGCCCCTCTACACCTACAAAACAAAACAAGGACTGTACATTACTGCAATTACCACTAATAGGACATGTCAAATGGATGGCGCAGTCGGTTAATGATGTGTTCTAAGGAAGCAAATGTCATGAGTTGGAATAGCACCTTGGTATTCAATTTATTTATTTATTTATTTTTTTCAAATTTTAAGACATTTTATTTTTTTACATAATTTTTTTTATTTATTTTTTTTCTGTCGGTGGTAGTGATTATTGACAATTATGAACCCTTGCCGAAAACCCAATTACGTCATTGTCTAGTATATTTACCATGATTTAAGCATGTTTTAATAGTGTCAACAAAAAGTCGTTTTTCTGAAAGGTGCATACATGAAGTGTTAAACGCTGAATAGAGGTAACCTCAGTTTAACGTGTAGACCAGTGACCGGTCACTCTTGTTTCTTTGTTACTTTCATCAATTCATCAACTGCGTTACAATTAGTATATTTAGGCCAAGATTTTTCTCATTAGTAAAGAGGAGAATAGGCCCCTATAGGGGCCCCTATGGCCCATTTATCTTTCTCCTCAATGTTGGTCTCTACACACCCATAGACATGATCTTATTATCTATTTTATACCTCCATGATTTTATCCAGACTGATAATGTCACATATTGCTTTAAATAATGGGTGTTTGGAATTCTGAAAAATATTTTGAGATGTTTTGGCTTGTGAAACTTTTTTTTTTTAATGAGGCATCTGAAAAGGGATGAAGAAGAGAACAAGATATATGTTTATTTTAGGGCAAGTGGAAAATCTTGTTAAATTATCTGTCTCACCCACATACAAAATTTAGGATCACATCAAGCATTTTTTTTTTACACATCTTTTGTGTAGTGTAACACATATGACCATAATCTTAAACTGATTGTGCCAAAACCAATACCGAATAAAAAAAAAGAAGTCTTGGCTATCGAGGGGCAGTTCTATGGAATAGTTTACCATATGACATTCGATTTCCACCTACTTTAAGTTCCTTCAAGAGTAAATTATAGTTTGTCACAACCTTTTGAAAAACAACTGTTTACATTTAAGCATTTGAAAAGTTATTCATGAATAAATATTAAATTGATTGACCATTGTGCACAGATCACACAACAGACGTGCAAAATAACCACTTTCAGCCAACCAATGCTCAAGTCAACTCTACCTCTGTGAGAAAAAAAAAAAAATTGAGAAGAGAATGTAACATTTAGTTTGGCCTTTGTCAGTGTGTACTTGCTCAATTAAAAGCATTGCCATCAACCTCAGTACTGTATTGTTAAAATAGTATAATACATACTCCAAGTATGGAAATTCACGCCATCGTTTCGTTGAATCCCGACACGATGGCGTGCGTTTCGATACTTGGAGTATGTATTATACTATCTTATCTGAGATTAATCAGTGGACCTTTCGGTTTTTGTATTGTTAAATGTAAGTAATATCAGATCATAGTTGGTTTGATAAAGACTGTACATCTTGTAGTGGGGCACTTTAATACTATATACTGTAGAACTTGAAACTGATTACACTTCAAGATATCATCCCTACTGTACTTTGTCAAATACTTCCTCCATTGTGAATGACAAGCTTTTGACTGGTTCAATTGACCATTGACGCATGTTAAGGTCTTTTCTTTTCTGAAATCACAATAAACAAACTGTTAATTGAATCTTAAATGAGTGAAACTTATTGTTTATATTCTTAACTTGCACTAATCCTTGTGTATTATGATTCCCACTTCTGTTTTCTTCTTGTGTTACACTTCTGCTAGAGCTTCTATTCTAAAGGTCATTCCATAGATAACCTGTTGCAAAATGAATGTTCTGGCATACAAAGATAATAATCAATCATGTTATTTTTAAACTATTATATTATGTTGAATGTCAATTGTTGATATTTTCAAGATATATGACTGCAGTATCTGGTAATAATAAACCTGAAAAATATTATTTGTACAGTACAGTGTTATATTTAAGTATGCCTTTTAATGAAAACATATGCATAGCTCATCCTTTACTTTCTAAGTTTGTAGTAAATATACTACTGCTCTATTTAATAGTCTGAATCAAACTGAAAACCGAATTGTTATTTGTAATCATGTATCATATAGCCTCAGATTCCTAATCAATTTTTTTTTTCTTGGTGGTCTAAACTTCAGTGTCTTCAGACCTACGTACCTACCAAGTCTCGCGTATCCGGCGTGAGCCTAATGCCTTTCGACCAAACTTCAAGCCACTCCCCTAAATTTTCGGGCTTTTCCACTAATCTCAAGCTTTATTTAATTAAATCCAACCTTTTTATTGATATACTCGAAACCTTCGCAATTCTGTATCAGGCCTAGAATCATCAGAAATTGTATCGTTCCTATTCTAGCTACAAAATTCTTTAGCACTAGAGATCTATTCAGAGTGCACCAGAGAGCATCTAAGCCCAAAATTTGTCGGGGCCCTAGGTGGGCCCTCGACCCACGCAAATTGGGTTTATTTCCTGTTAAATCTGAAGCCACTAGCTACCTCCAACTTGGCATGTATGGACCTACATAGACCTCCTTTCATTTCTCAATAAAAAATAACATTTTTATCTTTCGATGATATAAAATAAAAAACGAAATAAATTGTTTTGATAAGTCTCATTTGATAATGAATATTTCAATCATAAGAGCTCTAATGGTGATTTTATGGGGTTTTTTTTTTTCCTTTTTTTTTCTTCAGCCAAACCTACCCTCACATAATTCAACCGGGACAGGGCAGTAACTTTCAGGCTCTGAACTCAACACCTCAAGGATCCTACTCATCCTGCAACCCATCTCCATACCCATTCCCATCACAAACATCCGGCCAAATGTCATATTCAGGCCTAGCAATGCCATATGGAGGTAAGTAGAGCAAATAATACACCTGTTCACATGCACGTAACCTGCCTAGATGTATGTTGTTATTATTCTAGATAGCAGCACAAGGCTAGTACTGTAGCTCAGGTGGTCTTCAAATTGATGAAATACTTGCGAGTTTTATTCAAATGTTATTCACACATTCTGAGTATTTTGTGCATTAAACACTGTCAGGCTCAGACAAAAAAATTTTACTGATATTAGGATTAATGAAACAATAATATCAACTCAAACTAACTTAATGGTTTCTGGTGATATCAAATGTCAGTAATAATCCATAACAATTGTTACTTAAATACTAATTTTTTTTTATTAAAGGCAAAAATTCCTTGAAATCTGAAAGTCAACTACAGGGCCAGGCATTCCCAAGTGCCTATGGATCAGGATTTCCAGGCACTCAAAATCCCTTTTATTCAATGTCAGGTAGGCTCAACATATATACTTATACCATAGTTTTTTTTATATAACCCCACCTTGGAAATAAACCCCTTTCCTACTTTCAAAATTAACAAAAATATAATTTGTTATTTATGAAAATATGCATTTTCTACCACCAGCCTAATCAAATTACTGATGTACTTAAGTACTATCCTCAATGTTCAGCAGTCAGGTACATGATAACACTACATCATTTCTCTCTGACAACAACACATACTTATCATGGTTGTAGATGGTATCTGTTTTAGAAGCTGCTTCGAAGCATTAACCTACAGTAGGCCTAGATAATGCTTCTGGTCAAAAACATTAACATACCAGGATGCAAGAATATGATTTTGGTATTGAGATAGTTGTTAAACTGTTAATAAAAAAGGACTTTTAAAAATTATGCCTTATACTAGGCTCTATAGAACAATGGTACATAAAAATATGTTTGATGTATTGTCAATAAAACAATATTTGTATCATTATATAAATGTTTTTTATATACTTTTTTTTCTGTCTAGGAAGTAGTTTTACAGGCAGCACCCCATACCCGTATCCAACAACAAGCAGTACACAAACAACAAATACACAAGTGTTTGGCAGTACTCCTCAACAGGTAAACACACCTTTTGGTCTCCCTTCCTTGACTGCTACGGTATATGAATTATATGCAGAAACGCATCATATTTTATATAAATCCAGAATTATTATTATTATTATTTTTGGGCATATATAATTATTATAAAACAGGTCCACAGATCCGCATAAATGATATTTCTTCACACTTTCCTAAATATGAGGTTTTTATGTACAGCATGATGAAAATTTAATATTCAGTGATACTAGTAGCTCATTCTAAATTTATGTGAATATTATTTTTTAATCTCCTTTTATGAACACTGAAGAGATCTTGAATCTTCTTAGAAATCAAAGTACCTGTACCTTATTACTAAGTCAACAGTTCTAAATAATCTAATACAATTGTAAATAATTAAAAGATAAATATATGAATGTTGCATTAAGATACTTGTGTTGGATTAGAATCCTATAAATTCAATGTTTACCCATCGTTGCTCCTTGTGTTTTAGCCGGAGGGCTAAAATGCAAGTTACGAGAGTGCACAATCTTACGGATGAGACCTGTACGCTGTTGGTCTCGCATGCATTAAGACACATGTGCATGTTAAAGACTCAGTACACTCTTCGGAAAAGAGTAAGGAATTGTATCTCAGTTTACTGCCCAATTACCACCCGAAGGACTCACTGGAAATAAGTCTTCTTCAGACTTTCATCGAATAAATCACTGAATAAATCCATCCATTCATTCCATATTGTATAGAGATAATTAAATGTCCTCTTCTTGTTTTCAGGGTATAGACTACAGCACAACATATCCAAGTGCTTATGGCAGTACTCTGAACCAATACTACCCAGGTTACTCTCCCTATATGAATAGCTCCATACAAACATCCATCCCTACCACAACGACAACATACCAATTAGCACCTCTACCAGAAGAAAGTAAGTAAAGATTTTATTCATTTTATTTAATCCAAGAGTAAGACCCATCCAATATTGCTCATCATTAGAAACCCTTTTTAATAATGTAATAGTACTATTAACTCATTAAATATTATTATATATCTATATTTAATTTTAATAGTTAATATAAATATATAATTAACAAGTTAATATTACAATTACTACTTTACATTATGCAGGGCTCTAACGATATGGAATATTTGATAGTACAGGTATATAATATTATATATTTATATTTTAAGTTTAATAAGAACCAATAATAATTATGAATTTAAATTCAAGATTTTGTTAGTTTATCATGTAGGTTATATAAAAATGATTATTGTTAAATATGTACGTAAGCTAAAGTACATGATATTTATAATACAATAAATAAAATGCAATATCTAACTTGCTCATTTTATATTATTTAAATCACAGTTCCGCAACCTATTGGTCGCGACCCAATGTTTGGGTCGTGGACAAATTTTTAGTTCCTATGCATGCAATGCAATAGGAACTATTGTAATCACTCTCACTGTTTTTTCTCTGTTTTTTATTGTGTGTAGTATGTGTGTGCGTGTGTGTGTGTAGACATATATGCAAATGCACATGTGTCAAAGAAAAAGTTTCCCGACATTTTGTTTTACCTCGCAATGCGAAGTTCAATGTGAAGTTTCTGCAGAGTTCAGTCAGGGCTCACGCTAACCGATCAGCAAGTCGGCATGGATGAAACTATTTTGGTTTTACAGCAAAAAAAATCAATTGCTGTGGCATAGGTATTTTGAAGAAGGCCTAAAATAAAACAAAAAGGTTTTAATACTTGCTGAAATACATCGTTCTTTCATTTAGATCTCCATTTTTCACTAACTTCATGCGACGTTTTTTTCTGTTGTATGAGTAGAGTCATATGAAGGTACTATATCCCCGACAGTTGGCTATGCAGCAATGTACCCTTTGAATGAATGCAAATTGAAGACAAGTGAAGATATAAAGGCAGCCGACTGTCGGGTACATAACGACTGTCAAACTTTCCACAAAAACATGAGGCCTAAAAGCTAGGCCTAGTTCAGTACAGTAGTTACTGCGATGGGAGGGTGGTAGATCGTTCAGTCAGTGATATCATGTTATCGTCTAATACATTTCAATAATGTGTGTAAAATTTAAGAATGCACCGCATGGGTCGCTTTCTTTGTTATGCGGTAGTAGTATACGTAGCAGAGTGACGGCAGCAATCTAAGCCTAGCCTAGGGCCTAGCCCTAGATAGTATACGTCCTTGATCCTCGTAATGAAAACTTCGGGTGACAGACGATTGGGCCTAACTGGTGTGGACGATCGACCCAAGATAGCTTCAAATAAATTGTAGTCCTAGTAGGCCACTGCCACCACCCCCACTCCTGATATCGTTCCAAACTACTGTAAAATGAAATTACTGTATACCTAGCTAGGCCTAGACCCTATGCCTACGAAATTTTTTCAAAGAAATTTGCTAAAAATATTACTGTAATTTGCCTGTCGAATTACATTACCAATGTGGTCTAAAATCACTATTTTGGGCCATAAAAACTCCCCCTGTATTTTTCAACCT